ACTTTAATTAGTGGCAGGCCCAGATGGCTCCTAAATTGGAGGTTTTTTTTTTTTTTATGCCTATTATATGAGTAATTTAAAAAAAGAAAGTCTACTCTCTACAGGAGAATTGTGCCCCTTGCTTCTTTTGATCAGGCAGCACTTGTGTTTGTGGGTATAAGAACTTTAGCTCCAACTGCTTATCTTAATTCTGTGAATTGCTGAAACTTAAGATCCAATTATCATGATAGATTCATCTTACTTCTGGTGCAGGGAGACATTCCTCTTTTTTTTTCTTAAAAAAAAAAAGATACACACACATACATAATTTTAAGCATCAACTCTAAGTGTAGGGGCAGAATGTGAAGGTTTTAGCATGAGATCACTCTACAATCTTGATCCCAAAATCCATTCTTAATCTTGACAGCTATATTTTCTTTCTTCAACACAGTGGACCTTTCCATAATCATATATTTGTATGTATATGATTTGTTATAAGAGCTTAAATGAGATGTGGCTATTTCTATAATACATGTGTAACACATTTCTATTTTTGAAAGCTCTCTACTCAGAACTGGGCTTTGACCTTTGAAAAGATGTGTGGGGACCCTTTGGATTCTCTGATATTTGATCGAGTTGCTGAAGTCACCTTCTCAAACCTCAGGCTGAAGGCTGGCCATTGTGTGTTTTCACTGACATAGCAGTACATGGGGCATGGGAAGTGAGCTAGGACCAGAGGTAGCTGTGCAAATCCATATGATATTTGGTCCAGAAGTTGTTGTGCCAACTCCTTTTACATTTAAGGCTTCATGTGTATCACAGCACATGTCCCATCTAAAATGTATCTATCCTTCATAAAAGACCAAACCCCAGCTGGTCTTATGCTTGACAAAGTAACTGTGTGAACCCTAAGGATTTCAACAAAGGCCAACATTTAAAAAACAAAAAAGTGACAAAGTCTGAGTCTATGTACCTTCCAGCTATTTTTGACTATTCATTGCTCCTTCAAACTGGAACATATTTTTGGGGTCCTTCCTGTCAGAGGTACCAACAGTTATTCCCATAATTGCTACTGTTGTTCAGTAAAACAAGAAACAGCTGGCACTTCCTACTTTCCTTCTATGTGGTTCTACCTGCCCTACACTGAAGTTCTAGGATTCACCTGTAACTGCTAGAGCTTTTGAAAACTTTTGCCCTGCTTTTTAATTCTATTTATCATTTCTATAATAATCTTGAAGAAAAATGATTAGATGACTGGTCTTATACTGCCATCCTTCCAGCAACTCATTAAGATTGCTTTTTATTAAATTTTTAAAAAATAGAACTGTGTCTTTTTTTGCTTTTGTTTCAGAATTATTTTGTCAACCTATAAATCAATTAAAGGAAAATTACAGCTCTGAAGAAGAGGAAGGTATTATAAAGATATTGGTCATGTAACTACTGAGGGAGACTGGCAGGAACATCTCCAGGGGCTCCAACATGAATCAAGTATGTCAATTCTATCTTCTTACTATTTCACTGGAAGCAATGTAACAGAATAGACCAAAGTTCCTCTGAGTTACCAATAAACAACTGAAAGATAAGGTGGTGATGCAGTCATTTAGCCACAGTTTTCTGTGTTGATTACGTTCTAAATCAAAATCAATACTAACACTAAATATTCCATGTTAAGAAAAGCTCTCATCTGTCACATTTTCAAATGTGGCAATGAGCCTTAGACAATCATTTAATATCTACCATAGAAAGAAAGTAAGCTTAAATTAACTGCTTTACATAATGATCATGTGGTCCCAGCAGCAGCTTCAGTATGGCAGCAACCTCCAAATACGAAGCATCTTATAGCACAGTGGCTCTGTAAGGCACATGTATTTCAATTAATCTTCCAATCTTCCCACTTAGATGGCACTTTTCATCTGGGGAAATAGACCCAGATCTGTTTGTCCCATTTGTTAGATAAATAATTGGGGTACTCACTGAAGCACTTCCAGGGAACACCAGAGGGTCTTTGCAGCACGGTTTACATGGACTCCAACTGCTGCCTAACATGCTTCCCTACAGGTATTCTGAGATGGGAGGGATGGCCAAGTTCGCAATGCTGTAGAACGTTATTTTGGGTTTCTGTGATTCTACATGAGGGGTTCTTAGGTTGGGATTGAGAGACTCTTTGACAATGGATGTCAAATGTATATAATCGTACATTTCTGGGAGGAGGACTTTCATCAGATTTCAGGGGAATCCAAGATGTAAAAAAGGCTCTGAATCATCTTCTAGATAACCCTCTAAGTCTGATTTTAAGCTATAAAACCCAAGAGATCTTACCCTTCAGATTTCTGAGGAAAAGTCAGAGTATAATGACCTAGAGTACATTATATGAATAGACAGTAGAGAGAATTACCCAAATGAACATTTCAAATTGTAACTTGAAATAATCAGATAACTAAGGCAAAGGAAATGGGGAGTTAGAGGGTTGGGGCTGAATTATCTCCCTAATGTAGTAATTTTCTGTTTCTCACTACCTATGTGGAAAAACCCACTGTTAAAGAGAAAGGAAAATAAGCTGAGTTAATCTGAATTATAAAACTTAAAAAGGTATGTCCTATGAAGTTACAAAAATACTGGCAAAATATGCCAACATTAGCAATTATATTTTAAAGTGAAAGGATAACATAGAAACTATTTTAAACAGTTAAGCATATATAATCTTGCAATAGATACAAAGTGCAGATGTTTAATTTTTATATTTTTTTCAAAGATGTTCTGCTGAATTTAAAATATTTTCTTTGAATAATCATGTTTGACAGATATAGCAGTTAATGTTAGCAAGATAATTAATGTCCACTGGGCTATGTCTATGCAGGTGTTTCCTTCCACTGTTCGTATCCCAATATAAAAATGTTTAATATATAAAATTCTGAGTTTACACATAATACATTAGGAATGATTACTTTTATCATAATTAAAATCCATAGAAGTTCTTTACGTAATGAATTCTTCTGGGCTTTTGACATATAACTTGATTTTTAAAAAATGTATTAGGTTATTAAAAAATTTAAATGTTCACTGCATAAAATGAGCAGATAACTATAGAAGGCACAGTTTCCAATCCTCCATAAGGTTTGTGAAGTCAAAAGTTACCTGAAAGGTCTTTGAATGTTACTCTACCAACCAAGTCATTTATTCCTTAATACTCTAATGCTTAATTAACAGAATTTTAAATCAATCTACCTACTTATTCACCTACTTATATACCCATCCTTCCATCTCTCCATCCACTCATTCTTCCATTTATCCATCCATCCATCCATCTTTATATATTTGGTCTTCAGCACAGGGAAGATTAAGAGTGGGAAATAAGAGAGATATGTTAGAGGCCAACAGAAAGAGAAACAACAGATATTAATGGAAGACAGAAAAATAAACAAAACCCAGCATATAACTACTAACATGCCATATATTAATGGATAGTTGTAAGGACAAGATATTATGACCAATTTCCATTTGACATATTCTAAAATTTTTTCCACCCATGAACCATTATTAGGTGATTCTTTGGCTCATATTTTAAAAAGAGGACCAACCATTAGAGGTTCCCAGTAAGTGTGGTACCCATGTCTAGTAGTATTTTTGGAAATTTGTAAGGAATTATCAGTATTTTGGGGCATGTAGGGTAGTTAGTGGAAGGGTACCAGAAATGCTAAAGATATTATCATTATAGAATGCATTGTTCAGTCCTGTGCAACAAAGAATTGTTCTATGTCCTGCATGATTTTCGAATATCCTATCAGACATTCATGTTGTTAAAAAACTTCTTTTTAGTTACATGATCTGGAATATAACTCCAGTTTTAGATAAATCCCAAATGTTTTTGCATAGTTTTAATATATATTAACTTTTCTAGGCTTGTAATTACTACGTAAATTGATAGAAGATTGTGTTTTATTTTATTGGGAACTTTAACAAGAGTTATTCATCATTTTAGACAATCATATTATTGATGGAGATACACTTATATTATTTAAATTGACGATACAATTTATCTTTGTCAATCTACATTCATGGTTGCCATGTTTGCAGAGATTCTATGTATAGGTAGGTGCCAGCATCTGAGACTACATAAAATCTCCTAGAGTGGGTATACCCAAGTGTTCACCTATTGAAACATGCACTGTTTTATTATAAATCACTCCTCTTATTTTCCCCTAATTGTATAGTAAGGACATGTTTCTGATATTTATAACTAATGCATACAGTTAGGGAAATCATCTATGATTTTCAATGCAGGAAAATAAAGGGTATGTTAGAAATAGTTACAAAAAGGAAGTCAAAATTCATGAGGAGGCAGAAGTGCTTGAGGGACAGGATGAGGGAAATGTAGAAAGGTCCAGTCATTTAAGTTTTCCCCAAGGATCTCTGTCTACTGGGATGCTAGCAGCTACTTAGAGCATGGTGCTCTGCTTCTCTTTCTAGTCCAATGCTGACTCTAGGGGTATCTAGTGACAAGTCATGCAGTTCTGATAGCTGCCTGAGCAATGAAGAGCAGGGAAATAGTTCAGCTATTCACAGCCCTTTAACTCAGTACCTGTTGACTACCCCCCGGCAGGGTCTACTTCTGGTTTTCCCTGTTTGCGACCCTGTTTTCCTCCCCGTGGTTTTACTTAGCTCACTGTTGCAGCAGTCTTGTTTTCTACCTTTATTGTGTTTTGGGGTATTTTGCTCAAGTTGGGCTGTACCTTCAATATTAGTCCATTTGTTGCACATTATTAAAAACATCCACAATGTTGATTCTATCATTCCAGGTTTCCAGTGCTGCTGTGGATTTATAATTGTATTTATTCTTCCATGTCAAAGGAAGTAGAGGTAAAGACATTAAGATTTTTATCAACTAGTTATCAATTTCAATGAAGGCAATTTTACTTAATGAAATTAAACTATCAGACTTGAAATTTTCTTCCTTGGTATTTGTTAAAGAACCTTTGTTAAATGAATTATCAAAAAAAAGTAAAAACATGAAGACAACTTACAATCCATTTCAAGTAAGGCACGAACAGATTTAATAAGCTCCTTAGATTCCAGTGCCAGGCTTGCTGGGATGTTGCGTCCGTTTCTTCCCAGAGGCGTGAGGGAAGTCTGAGAAGCTAACACAGCTCTTCTTTCACTATGTGGGTAGTGAAAGGAACGTAAACATATTACACAACAAACAGTATCCACCTTTACTAAATCTAGGTTTGCATTCATTATAAATTGCACAAAAATATTTCTATTTCTAGCAACATTTACTTCATGTATTCCTTGCCATATATGAAGTAATTAACCTAGAACAGTATTTCTGTTTTCAATTCATACAATGAATAGGCATGTTTTAAAACAATTAGGTTGACCTCATATTCAAAGAGGAAGTAACCAAAGGATGGCCTAATCTCCTAAATCATTTGTTGGACTTACTTTGTGAATTCTTGTTTGGCTTACATGACGTAGACTTTTATTTAGTTTTGTAAAAATTCAAAAAAAGTATATCAACATACATTTCTTAAATTGACACTTATTCCATTACTTATGGTAATATAAATTTAATATATATATACATGTTCACTTATGGAATTATTATTATTATTATTATTTGCAGTGCTGGGGATTGAATCCAGGTCCTCATGTTTGCTGGCCCCCAGACCTGAGATTATCTTTTGAGCTCCTCCATTTAACTCCAAAAGTCTCCCTAAAGATTTTATATGACTTTTTTAGAATGTCAAATGTCATCTGAAATGAACGCATTTTGATATAATTAAAAATGCAGTTTCCTTCAAAAAAAGAAACCCTTACACTGAAAACTTTTACTTGGAAAGAAGAACCAATTTTTCACTGATTATAAAGCTGTCATTACTTACAGTCCATCTTCTTAAATACAATGGCATTAATTTACAAGGAGAAACTAAAGAATCAATTTTCACATTCAAATACATAGCCTATACTCTGTGTGGAATGGCCAAGGATGGTACTGGTGTGGAAGACATGGTTATATTTAGAGCAAGATTTTACTAGTGTTCACCTTTTCAAGTCACGAGGAAAAGCTGCTTCTTAAAAAGTTCCTTTTAAAGTTGCCTTTTTCCTCCCAAGAAGAAGTTTAAGGTAAGAGCAGGCTCTGTCTTTTAAATAATTATTTTTAACCTTAGTTTTTAATACCAAATGTTTTAAATTAGTTAAGTTCAAAATGAGATCTTAGTGGGTAATGTTGGGGCCCACTCAACCCATAAGGACAATGTGGTTACTTAGTATTTTAAGCAGCATTGAGGCTGGGTGCAGTGGCTCAAAATATGTAATCCTAGCTACTCAGGAGGCAGAGATTGGGAGGATCACATTTTGAGGTCAGACTAGGCAAAATTTAGAGGCCCCCATGTCAAGAAGCAAGCCAGGCATGGTGGTGCACCTTTGTAATCCCAGCTAAGTAAAAGACAGAGATAGGAGGATCAAGGTTCAAGGCCAGTTTAGGCAAAAAGTGTGAAGACACTTCTCTGAAAAATAAAGAAAAAGCAAAAAAGGATGGGTGTGACTTAAGTGATAGAGTGCTTTCCTAGCAAGCACAAGACTCAGAGGTCAAATTCCAGCACTGCCAAAAAAAAGGAAAAAAAGCAAGCATAGATAATAAATGTGTCAGTAACTTTTATTAGAAGAAACAAAAAATTATACTAAGATGAACTTAAAAGTGAACAGTTGTAGGTATTCCTCCACAAAAAAATGTTATGTAGACACCTAAAAAACCCTTTATTTATTTTCTTTATTAAACAGTTGTTTTCACAGTAAAGTGTGGGGTTTCCAGTTCTTTGTTCTTAGCCAAAAGACCGAGAGACAATGAGTTTTCCTGTTTCTGCATGTTATACTACTAGAAATGGAAGACATATTTTAAATAATAACAATTATTCTAAAGAAAAAATTATTTTCAAAATGCACCTACAGGAAGTTTTCTTTCATCTATGTCTTTCATCAGGTATCAAAATGACTATAAACTTGGAGTCTGAAATACATACATCTTATTTGTAGGTTTGCAGAACCTAGTAAGAAACTTGACATCTGAAGCACACTGTGAATCGTAAGGAAACCAAGGTGTATTTTCCAAATATGTTTCTTTATTTATATCTACTGAATGATTAAAATGAAAGAAACTGACTGCATGAGTATTTTTACAAAATTCTAATCTGCTAGGTTGAGATGGACCTTTAGCAGTACATCTGTGAACAAGTAACTTTTTAAAATACACAGGATGCTTACAGAATTTCAAGTTAATCTCATCATTCCAGAATTCTTGACTTCTTATTCCTACCTCAATTTTAGTGTACAATGACTGGCTCAGTACTTCTGGGAATTTCTTTTACAGAGATAGGAAGAAAAACAATTGTCTTTGCATTTATTTCCAAGACATTAATGAATACATCCAGTGGGAATGATACAGCACCTTAAGAACACCTAAGAGATGTTTATTATTCCTCTAAGTTAGTGGAGTACTAATTATAAGGAGGAACATTTAATCAGTGGATGCACTCTGCAAAAGCACTTAAATGTTCTTACCTTAAATTTGATAAAGGAGCAGAATTTTCAGAAAAAACTTCTTGAATAGCCTAGCAACAAACAAGATGGCGAAGGCTACAGGTAAGTTTTATAGTTCTTTAAAAAATACCTTTTCTTAATTAATATTTACAACCTCCCTCTTGATTTAAATAGGTGTTTCTGTTATGGTACAGAATCAATTACATTAACATGCAATTCTACTCAAAATAGCTATGAAACTTTCTTTACAAGAGAAATATTTATCAAATTATGTTTACATAGTCTAAACATTTTTAGGAAAGTATTTATTAAGACAGTGTATATTTGGGATCATGTTAATTTGTGTCAATGATTTCCCATAATAATCTGCATAATGTTAGATGACCTTCATTATCCAGGAAATTCTAAATCTGACCTTAGGTCAACATTGCTGTTTTTGAGACTAAAGAACACATCACTAACCACCAAATACAATGACATTCAAGTTTGTCAACTGCCTATACATTTCTTTAAAATGAGCATGATGCAATGCACAGTTATTCCTTGGTATCTGCAGGGACTGGTTTCGGGACTCCGGGGAAGCCAAAACCCATAGATGCTCAAGTCCCTTATGCAAAACAGAATACAATATATGCATATAACCTATACACATCCTCCCATGTACTTTAAATAATCTCTGTGCTACAATACCTAATTCGATGTAAATCCTATGTAAATAGTTTTATACTGTATTGTTCACACAATAATGACAGAAATCAAGTCTGTACATAGTAACTACAGAGGCAACCATTGTAGGTCCACCTGCATTATAAGAGCAAGACATGATGAGGACTGGACAGGGCAATGTCTATGAAATGGTGGAGGCTATAGCAGGGAGCACCTGCGTATTACTTCACTCATGTGGATTCAGCTTGGGATATGGGAAAGTCAGATTTTGCTTTTTGGAACTTTCTGGATTTTTTTGTTCCTGAATATTTTCAATCTGTGGTTGGTTGAAACCATGGATGTGGAATGCAAGGACACAGAGGATCATCTGTAACAGAAAAACTTACCTCTACAAACTTGAGAAGCTTTTCAGTGGACGCCTCAAAAGTTTTTCGAGCCATTTCTGATTTTCGCAACTGGCAGTCAAGTACAGTGATTCTCTTTCTTAGATCATGAACACTTTCCTGGACAGACATCAAAAGGAGCATCTCATGCAATTCTTTGATTGTACACGGCTATTATCTATTTTCAGTTTTCATGAACTGATCAATATCTGATATTACAGCTTCATTTATTTTCTCTTGCTATACATATCCTCTGATTGGTGGGGTCATATAATTAACTAAATATTTAAAAGCTGATTTCCACAGAGATACTTAAAAGTTTTATGAGATAAACTGCTAATGATTTCATGGAGTCTTACAATACCTACACCTCGAACCACTCTACCAGCCCTTTTCCGTGTGTGGCAGGTTTTTTCAAGATAGGGTCTAGCAAACTATTTGCCTGGGTTGGCTTCGAACCACTATTCTTTTGAGTAGCAAGATTACAGGTATGAGCCACTGGTGCCTGGCTAAATTAGTTTTTTTTTGTTTTGTTTTGTTTTTGTTTAGCAACTTGTTTTAACATATGCTCACAGAAACCCAACCGGGGTAGCACAACTGAAAATGATGCTGGGTACATGCAAACATGTGCAGAAACACACATTTGTACATGCAATATGATAAAATCCAATGCAAGGCTGAATGAAGAGGGAAATAAAGGATTCCCAAGGGACAAGCAGCAGCAAAGTGGGGGGAATTGGGGGCAGGGAGAGGGGTAGGGAAGAGTACTGGTTCTGAGGGCACGTTGATTCCTGGTGGCCTATAGTTTGGGATTTCATCAGGCACAAATGGCAAGCAGAACTTTAATGAGTAAACTAAAAGTAAACAGTTTTTTGGTTTTGGCTCTGGTGAGTAAAAAGTCTGTCCTAAATAATTCCTAACCACAAGCTTCTATTCATGAATGTTTGGGGCCTGATTTTATATTACCTAAAAATCCATAAGCTGAAAATTTAGTCTAACTTGGTCCCAAGCTTAATAGAAGCAAAAATAAACCCTCTGGAGAGCTGTTTTCTAAATTCAGATTTCAAAGAATTCTTAGAAATAATGTATCAAAAGAACATGACCTTACAAAAAAAAAAAATTCACAAAACAGGTGAGGAAATAAGCTCCATGGGTAAAAGTCAGCTAAGGAAACAAATGATAGCATCAGATCTATAAAAACAGCAGATAATAATCACATACAAAACATTAAAGTAATTATGTTTAATATGGTTTAAAAATTAAGAGGGGATTTAAAATATAATAAAGAGACAAGAAAACTATTAAAATGGATCCAATGACATAAAAAATCAATCTCTAAAGAAAAATATAGTAATAATTAAATTAGAAATTTGATTTTTGTGTTTAACATCCATTTAGACACAGACAAAAAGAAAATGATTAAACTGGAAGACAGAGATAAAGAGATCTCTGATAACTGAATAGAAGTACAGAAATTGAAATACAAGTGAGGGAGAAGAGAAAACAGTAGGAAGATCAGTATATATACAATTGAAATCATATAAGAGTCACTAGAAGGAAAGAGAAATAGTTAAGGATAATAGCTTAGGGTTTTCCTGAACTGTCAAAAGACATTGCTCCTGAGGTGAGGAACCTCAATGAATCTCAAGCAGCATGAATTTAGAAAAGTCAACATGTGACTCACTGAGGTCAGAATGCTGCATGTCAAAGCCAAAGAGAACTTAAAATTATATAGAAAGAAACAGATTGGAAACAAATGACAGACTGATGGCTCAGATCACAACATGAAATATAAACACTGGAAGACATTAAATGCTGACTTACCACTCAAAGTGTAGCAAAAATCTATTTAAAGAATAAGAGTTGAATCAAGATGTTTTCCAGAAAAACAAAATGGAAAGATCATTAGTAAAAGAACCTCACTAAATGAATTTCTACAAGATGCACTTCGGAAGAAAGGAAATGATACTACCAAGAAAGTATTAGATGTAAGGAAGAATGTTGAACAAAATGGTTAACATAGGATCTGCTAAACAAATTCTGATTGTACAATACAAACTGTAACTGTGTTAAAATTGAAGAACTAAAATACTAACAACAATAGAAATTCAGTAGGTAGGCACAGTTAGACTCACGCTCAAAAGTGCTTAAAGTTCTTAGAAAAAGGAGGAAGCCACTGAATAATTTTATTACTTAGTTAAAATTGGTTGGCATAATTTCTAGGATAATAATTAAAAATTAGAAACAGATTATATAACTTCTAACCAGCACAGAGAAATAAATATAATTAAGCAGGGGAACACAGAAGAAATCTGAATCAATAGTAACAAACAAGAAAAAACAATGAACAAAATAACGATTAGAATACCTGAGCAAATTGTACAAAACAGAAGGAAAAATTAAAGCCAATCATGTTGAGGTATGATCCTTCTATTCTTAGTTTATTCAGGGTTTTTATCATAAAAGGATGCTGAATTTTGTCAAAGCCTTTTCTGAAACTATTATGATGACCATGTGATTTCTTTCTTCCTTCCTTCCTCCCTCCCTCCCTTCCTCTTTTTCTTTCTTTTTTTTTTTTTTTTGTGGTACTGGGCCTTGAACTCAGGGCCTACACTTTGAGCCACTTGCCAACCCATTTTGTGTTAGGTATTTTTGAGACAGGGTCTCACGAACGATTTGCCTGGGCTGACTTTGAACTGTGATCCTCCTGATCTCTGCCTCTTTAGTAGCTAGAATTGCAGGTGTGAACCATCGGTGTCTGGCTTGACTGTGTGATTTTTATAGTTAATTCTATTTACATGCTGTATTATGTCTATCAATTTACATTTGTTGAACTATTCTTGCATTCCTGGAATGAATCCAACTTAATCATGGTGTACAATCTTCTTAATGTGTTGCCAAATTCAGTGTGCAAGTATTTTATAAAGAATTTTCATGTCTATATTCATTGGGGAAACTGATGTATAAGTTACAGTTTTTATTTTTTTTTTGCTGTATCCATATCTGGTTTTGGAGTAAGTCTGGAAGTGTTTCTTCCCTTTCTATTTTATAAAATCATTTGAGGAACATTGGTTCTAGTGCTTTAAAGGTCTGGTAGAATTCAGCAGGGAACCTGTCCAGTCCTGAGCTTTTCTTTGTTGGGAGACATTGTGTTATTGTTTCAATCTCATCACTCATTATTGAGCAGTTCAGATTATTTTTATATCTTTTAGATTTAGTTTTGGTAGGTCATATTGTCTAGAAATGTATTCATTTCTTCTAGATTTTCTAACTTTTTTGTAGTGTAAGTTTTCTTAAAAACCATACTGATCCTCCAGACTTCAGTGGCATCTTTGGTACGTCACCTTTCACATGTCTCTAATCTTATTTGGTTAATTTGGCTAAACAAATTTTGCTAGTTGAATAAGCCATTCTCACAAAAACAAGTATCATTTCTTTTCTCTCATATGTGGAAGAAAGTAAAAGAGGCATTTGGAGGGGAAAGGGGGAGCGGGGAGAAGGATTAAGATGGGCAACAGAGGATGAAAATGATCAAAGTACAGTAAATGCACATATGAAAATATCATTATGCAGCCCCCACACTTTGTATAGTATATACTAATAAAATGAAGCCACGTGTTTCAATAAATAAGCAGTAAAAATGGAAAGATCTTTACAAGTAAAGGTTAAAAGTTAATGAGTGGGAAAAACATCCAACTACATGTTGTTCACAAAAGACATAATTAAAATACAAGGACACTGAAAAGTTGAAAGTAAGTAGATGTAAAAAACTTCATAGGTAAATGCCAAAGAGAAGCGAGATGTGTAATATTTTAATATCAACAGAAATTAGGCGAAAAGGGACATGAAGATTGTTAGATGGAAGTCGTGACATTCTCACAAAAGATAACATAATTCCAATAGTGAATGTATTCAAATGCATTACTTCAAAAACACATAAAAGAAAAAAACCCACAAGGAGGATTGTAACATATGTCTCTGAGTAATTGATGGTTCGAGCAGAGAAATTTATATGAATAGAGCAGAATTAAACTCCCAAAATTATCCTCATAAGTGTACTATATAGAACACCTGTATCCAACAACTGCAGAATTCTGTTTTTTAGATGAATGAATGCTTTTATTTTTATTAATATGGCTTTGAAATGTAAGACAAATATTAAGAATTATAAAATAAATCACAATCTAAATGTAAAGGTCATTTAAATGAAATTTGAAAAATATAGTACAGCTATATAAAAGAAATAAAAAATAAGATGACAATAGCTACCAAATGTTACAAATTATTATCCCAAATATGATGGATTAAATACCACCATTAAACAAGAAATATTTTAAGATTAAACCTTAAAATAAAATCAAGCTACTGCAGTTTATAAGAGATGCAGAAATTAAAATAGAAAGATGCAGAAAGGTCAAAAATAACAGTAGTGCCAAAGAAAACTAGAAAATGCAAAAAACAAGGGTAGTGATATCAGACAAAGAAGAAGTGAATGAGACATGTACTTTACACTGTTGAAATGTTGTAAGTCAGTGACAGCAGTCATACTTCATGTACACTAGTTAGAATATTTTTGAGATAAAAAGATCACTAAACTTAGAAATTCCAGAATCGAAAACTGCAATCACAGTTTGAGACTTTGATAAGACAAAATTACAGAGGAACTAAACATTATAGCTGATAACCCACTTTAAATATATATGGAAATTCACCCTCCGCTAATAGAGAATATCTCTTTTTCAAAGATCAAAAGAAAGTTATAAAAGTTCATCGTAATCTAGGTTGCAAGGAACGTCTATATGAAAATCAAGAGTATGAATACTTATTTTTGACAATGATGCAGTGAAACTAGAAATAAAAATGTAAATACAAGACCAAAAGAAGATTAAGCACTCTATTAAAATTGTTTATCAAAGAATTAAAAACTTAAGGCATTATTAAAATCATTAGATTTATAGGTTGTAGCTATTAATTTACATGGATGAAAATTAATAAAATTGAGTATGTTTATGATTAAGGATTATTAAAGTTATTATTAAGTATTTAAATGATTTAATTTTCAAATTTTTATTTTGGTTACTTATTTTTAAATTTTCTACTAGCATATATCAATTTCCATA